CATGTAGGCTAACATGGTGAGTGTCTTGAATGCATGGCAACTTCAGACATTGTTGTGCGTGCTGGCCTAACTCTAAAGAACCGGGATGTCCAAATTCTTTGTTCCATGCTCACATACAAACAGATGAGGATATTTTTCATTGAAAAATGTTCTGTTTGTTTGGTGGTTCTTGCTCCTTCTATTTTTATTTTTTCCTTTTTTAATATTAAACCTAACTAATTCATGAGGCCTCTAGTTCATAAAACCCTGTAATATCCAAGTGTGCTTTCCTTTATAATATAAGATGCCAGAAATTAGATGCCCTGCCAAATTGACTGTATGGGTGGGCAAAACATTTTTCTTGTTAAAGCATAAAGAAGGACAATCTACCTCCAAAATAGCTACTTTCATGCCTGTTTATATTCCCCACTTTCCATTCTTTTTGTCCACTAATGCCTTTTGGCATATTCCAATATTGTTGTCCATTTTTAAAAGAAAGGTATTTTATTTTGCATTTTACAATATCATTATTTTTGGATGAGTATGAATGCATTTACCAAACCGAAACAAATTAAACCTTGTGTCTCAATCAAGTGGGGGTGGCTACATAATTTTTTTTTTTTTTTTTTTGCTCTATCAAAGTTTGTATGTTCTGTTAAATTAAATAAATTTATATTTTCTTTGATTGTGGTGAGTATGCATCAGATGTCAGCTCAAGTCTTCCATGTTAAGTAGTTCTCTCTCTATTCCTACCATTTCATGAATATATTCATTTCTAATCTATCTTTTTTAGTTTTACCACAAATCTATCCAAAGCATTCTCATCTCAGTTGCCCAACACTTTCTTCTATTATGCAGAATTGCTGGCCTTCTATTGAGTATGAATGCATTTAATAGAGTAAAATAGAGGGATGGTTTTGGAAATTCAGACTATATTAGTTGGTTATGAACACAGTCAATGCATATCCCCTTAAAAATGTAATCAGTGGCTTATTAAATACAGCCACATCACCCGCATGTTTTTGTGTGCACATGTAGATGCAACTTCTTCTTAAACACACTTTTATACTATTCTCGAGAAGTTAACAGAGACTGGTGGATGACTATGAATGTGCATTGCGACAATTGGGTCATTAATCATTACATTGGATTCCAACCTCAAGTATGCAGTTGTTCCCTACTGAAACAGCGAAATGCTGAAATTGCTCTCTTCATTTTTACATTTTCAAAACTAGACTTTGCGAATGTTGTGCCCTCTTTCTATTGGCTTCTTGTGCATTGCTGATGTTGCGACTTTTTGGCAATTTACTAGTTTTAAGTTTCACTTCACCAGTGTGAAAGATATTGTTTAATTGTCTTGGTTGGGTTAGTCTGTTCTCTATTGTCATTGCATGATTTGATATTTTGTGCGTGTACCACAGATTTTTACAGACACACCATCATGCTTAAATCTGAGATGTGGTTATCTTGCTAGTAAATATATGCACATGCACTTCTGTTGATTTGATATGGACTTCACTGACATTTAGAACCTGGAGTAATTGGAATTGATTGATATTTACTTCCATTTTGGGGAATCCTTTTTATTTTTAATCCTCCAGAATTTATCATTTCATGGTAATTTGATGACCAATATATTTACATTGCGCCATTTAATTTATCATGATTTTTTTTTGATTGTTTAAAAGTCTCTGTGGTTGAGGTATTCACAGGTTTAGTCTTCTACGGTAGGAGATGAATATTTAAAGTGTATTATCATATGGAATTTCAGTAGGTTGGTTGTTACAGTACAATTTTGTTGTTGATGGAAACTTGAGGGTCCAATTGTCTTCTAATTTTGATTGTGATATCATTAAGCGACTTTTTCTTATCTTTTAACTGATTGATCTTTGAAATATAAAGGACGATGTTAAGTATATATACATATATGTATTTATATAGACATTGTAACTTACATTGGCATCTAATGTAGGTGCATTTGATTGGGTATTGCGTAGAGGGCTCTCTTTTTCTAGTCTATGAATTTATCGAGAATGGCAATTTAGATTGAAGGCATTGTATGACAAATTTAATTCTAGAATTGAATATAAGACTCACCTTGTTTTTGTCTCATTGTTAAATTGTGAACAAATAATATTTCTATGTACTCTCAGCCTCAATTCATCATATTTACAAGTAGAAAGAGAACTTGTAATTTAAGTTGCCAATGATTGAGGAAAACATTGTTGGTAGAGCTAGCTATCTTCTGCTCTTCATGTTTATGCAATCTATAATTATTCTGTTTGTCAGGTATTTGTGCTAAATTTAATTGAATTACTTGATGCAGGTTTTGGTTGTAGGTGGTGGTGATGGTGGAGTTCTTAGGGAAATCTCTCGCCACAATACTATTATATAATTCCGAACGCCATAATTAAGTGATCCCATAGTTAAGTTTGAAGTTGCTCGTAAGGTAATTGAAACTCTTGTTGCAAATCACTGATCTGCCATAGAGATTTTTTTTTTGAAGACTTGAATTTTTTAGTACAGTGTATTTAAAGATGATTAATGGATAATGTCTATTATAAATTTAATTAATTTGTTAATTTTGTTATTTTTCATTTACAAAAAATTGTTTGGTGCTTGTAATTGATTTTTTTGTTGTAGCAAACCCATATATGATTTTTTTTAATAAATAATTATTTGCGACAGTAAAACAATGGTTGCTAAAAGTGTTTTTTTTATTTTTTTTTATTTTTTTTGCGATGGCAAAATAGTTGTCGCAAAAAGTCTTTTGCGACCGCTTGTGCAGCCGCATAGGCCGTCGCAAAAAGTCTTTTGCGACTGTATTTTTATTACTTGCGACGGCATGTGACGGTCGCAAAAAGTATTTTTTTTAGTAGTAAATGTTATTAATCACACTTAAAAGATGTGATGTAAATATTTTTAATCACACTTAAAAGGTGTGATCGAAATGTTATTAATCACACTTCCAAAGATCACACTTAATAGGTGTGATCAAAATACTTTTAATCACACTTAAAAGGTGTGATCTAAATATTTTTAATCACACTTAAAAGATGTGATCTAAATATTTTTAATCATACTTAAAAAGTGTGATTAAAAATGACCACTTTTAATCACACTCCCAAAGATCACACTTTAATAAAACTTAAAAGGTGTGATTAAATAACATACATCACACAAAAAATGTGTGATCTTTATCTATTTTTGTAGTAGTGATTGTTGGCTTCGAAGAAGAGAAATACGGAATTAAGTTGGGAGTCAAATTAAAATACTTTTTTTTTATTATATATATATTTAGAATTTAAATTTATACAATTTATTATTGTTTGGCATACAATTATTTTAATTTAAAAGTTAAAAAGTTATTAAAAAAATTAAAAAGTTTATACCCAAAGTCAAAGATTTCCTTTTTCTCTTTACTTTTTGTATTTTTTTTGTAAATAATTAAAAAATTATTCAAAACATATTAATTTTTTTACCTCATATTTTAGTCAAAAAATTACTAAAAAAGCTTGTTCCCAAACAAGAATGAACTTTTTTTGTATTTTAGATTTTTTTTTTAATTTTTTAAATGCACATAATCCAAATGTATTGAAAAAGATAAAATATTTATGAAGAAATCTAAAAATAATAATAAATATAAAAAATATGAAAATGTATTGATTTTTTTTTTTCTTTTGTAGTTAGTGAATTTTTAAAAGTTTTTTTGACAATTTTATACTTTTTAAATATATCTAAGAGAATCTAAAAGATTTTTTTTTAAAAATCATTAAAATATTTTATAAAATAGTAATGCTACACACACAGATAATCAAACACATAATTAAACACAAGAATTGTTCATTCGGACGATCAGCCGAATGATCAGGTGGTCGACCAGATAACAAAATGACAGTCGTGGTTGTCAAGATGACAGTCGCGGTCGACAAGCTCTGGCCGATTCTCGGAATGAATAATACCTATATTTGGTCTTATGTTTAGTCCTCTATATGCATAGTATTGTTGTTTCAAAAATTACTAAAAATAAAACACTCGGAGACAATTTTTGAAAATTATTAACCAAATAGAGTGAATGAATTTGGAAGCTTGTTAACTTGCCTTACCTTGAAAAACTAACTTTAAACTAAAATTCTAGGCTTATTTTAGGTACACAAAAAATAAGTAATTTATTGACTTATTTGAATTATATCATTTTTAAATTTTTTTTTTTTTACATATTTTTTCATAATAAATCAAAAAGTCAAAAAATAAAACATACTCAAATTTAAAATTTAAAAATGTGTTGAAATTATTAATATTTTTACTAAATGTCACATATAGGTTTGAGACCTACACTCATGTGAGACTTACAGTTATGTAAGACATTTAGTAGAACAATAATGTTACATTTTCTAATTTATTATTCTTAAATGACTTTTAATAATGTGACATTAAAATTAAACTCCACATCATAAAAGTTTAATATTTATTAGACACATAATAATTTTTTAAAATAATAAAATAAGTATCTCAAATATTTTTGTTAGTGAAAATATTGGTAAATCTGATGTCCTAATCTTACTCTTTCAACCTATACAACCACAAAAAATTATAGTATCGAGATATTACATGATCGTACTCTTTAATTAATCATTATTTAATATATTTTTTATATTCTTTAATCACTTAACCTAATATGTCTTATTGGGCAAATTACATATACCCCTCGAGATTTGGCTAAATTACTGATACCCCATGAGGTTTGAGAAATTACGAATTCTCCCCTGAATGCTATATTTGCATAAAAAATTAAGGGGTAATTTGTTATGAAATATAAACTTCAGGGGACAAATTGTTATAAAAATACAAACCTCAGGAAGTGAGATGTAATTTCCGAAACCTCAGAAAGATATCTATAATTTAATCAAACCTCGAGGAGATATATATATGTAATTTGTCCTATCTTATTTATTCACTTTATTTTACCTGTCACAATATTATAAAATATTAAAATAATTACTCACAACCACACACGTCATTCATTCCACAAGTTTTGGGATTAGATAAAGCAAATGTACAGACTGATGCATGTACATGGCTTTCTTTCTTTCATTTCACTCTGAATTTCACATCTACACTTTCTATTTCGGTATTATGCTTTTCTCATCAACAATCTGCTTTTTCACAACTGGTTCTCAAGCTTATCTACATTTTGTTTCTGATTTCTTCACATGTTTTAAATTTTTGTCAATATTACAGTAAAGGAGCTTGTCAGTGTTTCTCAGTCCAGTCATCACCATTGTTTCTCTCTCTAGAGTGCTTGATCTGAAACCCATCTGTCTCTCACTCTTCCTTGCAAGATTTGAGATGGGTATTTCAAGAAACAGCCATTAGAGGGCATTTGGGTGTCAAACTTCCATGGAAGTTGAAAATACAAGCATTCTTGTTGTAGCATTGTTTTTCTCTCTTGTTTCAGTTGTTTTTAGTGTTACAGACCAACATGACCTTGAAATTCTCAACCAGTTCAGACAAGGATTAGAGAACCCAGAGCTCTTGAACTGGCCTCCCAATGGGGATGACCCATGTGGTCCTCCAAGTTGGAACCATGTGTTCTGTATTGGTAATAGGGTTTCTCAGATTCAAGTCCAGAACATGGGTTTGAAAGGTCCTTTGCCTAAGAACTTGAATCAATTGACTAAACTCATCAATCTAGGCCTCCAAAAGAACCAATTCAATGGGATATTGCCTTCTTTTAGTGGGTTGTCTGAATTGAAATTTGCTTATTTAGATTATAACAATTTCGATTCGATTCCATCAGATTTCTTCGATGGGCTTGTCAATTTGCAGGTTTTGGCATTGGATTTTAACCCTCTCAATGCCACAACTGGTTGGTCACTGCCTTCTCTGTTGCAAAACTCAGCTCAATTGACAACTCTTTCTTTGATGAATTGTAGTTTGGTTGGTCCATTGCCTGAGTTTTTGGGAAATTTGAGATTGCTCACAACGTTGAAACTCGCGTTGAATCGGATTTCTGGGACTATTCCAGCAAGTTTTAGCAACTTGACATTGCAGACTCTATGGTTGAATGGACAATCTGGAAGAGGAATGACTGGTCCGATTGATGTAGTTTCGTCAATGGTGTCACTCACTAGTCTATGGCTTCATGGCAACAGATTTTCAGGTAAAATTCCTGGAAACATTGGTAATTTAACTTCTTTGAAGGATTTCAATGTGAATAGCAATGATCTTGTTGGATTGTTACCTGATAGCTTAGCAGATTTGGAGTTAGACAACTTAGATTTGAACAATAATCAGTTTATGGGTCCTGTTCCAAGGTTCAAATCTGTTAATTACTCTTACAATTCGAACAACTTTTGTCAATCTGATGTGGGAGTTCCTTGTGCCCCTGAAGTTATGGCATTGTTAGAATTTCTTGATGGGTTGAATTACCCGCCAAGACTTGTTTCTTCGTGGTCTGGTAATGACCCTTGTGAGGGACCATGGTTGGGAGTGAGTTGTGCCAACCAGAAGGTTTCTATCATAGACTTGCCAAAGTATAATCTTAGTGGCACCTTGAGTCGTTCAATAGCAAAGCTAGGTTCCCTTACTCAAATTAAGCTTCCATTTAATCGTCTCACCAGTCCAATCCCACAAAACTGGACTAGCTTGAAAAATTTGACCCTGTTGGATCTAAGTGGCAACAATCTTTCTGCTCCATTGCCGAAATTCAGTGGCTCTGTCAAACTTGTCTTATTTGACAATCCTCTACTAAACTCTAATCAGTCTGAAGAAACCCCTTGGCTAAGAAACAACCCGCCATCTGGGGGTTCGCAATCCCCTATTAATGATCATTTTTCACCGCCTAATCCCTTTATTCCTAACCAATCAACTGAAGAGCAAAGATCCAAAACGTCTAAACTAGTTGTGATTGTGGTCCCTATTGCAAGTTTTGCAGCCCTTGTTGTCTTTTTCATTGTTCCTTTAGCAGTTTATTGTTGCAATAAAAGAAAGAATGCCTTTGAAGCTCTAACTTCCTTTGTGATTCACCCTAGTGACCCCTCCAACGTAGATAAAATGGTTAAGATTGTAGTTGCGAAAAATACTAATGGAAGTGTTTCTACGGGAAGTGGTTTTGGGAGCAGAAACAGTAGTGGAATAGGTGAGTCTCGTATCATTGAGTCTGGAAACTTGGTCATATCAGTTAAAGTTCTTCGGAATGTGACTAAGAATTTTGCCTCTGAAAATGAGCTTGGCCGCGGTGGTTTTGGAGTAGTTTACAAAGGAGAGTTGGATGATGGAACAAAGATAGCAGTGAAGAGAATGGAAGCTGGTGTGATTAGCAGCAAAGCTTTGGATGAGTTTCAAGCTGAAATAGCCGTTCTTTCAAAGGTTCGCCACCGTCATTTGGTATCTCTTCTTGGGTATTCGATTGAAGGCAACGAGAGAATTTTAGTTTACGAGTATATGCCTCAAGGAGCTCTCAGCAAGCACCTTTTCCACTGGAAGAGCTTGAATTTGGAACCATTATCATGGAAGAGAAGGCTGAATATTGCCTTGGATGTGGCTAGAGGGATGGAGTATCTTCATAGTCTTGCTCATCAGAGCTTCGTACATCGAGATCTTAAGTCGTCGAATATCTTACTCGGTGAGGATTTTAGAGCAAAAGTTTCAGATTTTGGATTAGTGAAACTAGTTCCTGACAGCGAGAAGTGTGTGGTAACCAAGCTTGCAGGGACTTTTGGATACCTGGCACCAGAATATGCCGGTAAGCTCTCTGTATTACATTCTTTTGCCTATGTAGTACGTAGTGATTATAAACATCTGAAAGCCTAATTCAATTTTGACCTAGAGAAGAATTTGAGGCTTGACCCAAAGTTTGAAGTCATGAACAGCGTTTGGCTAAGAAAACACTAAGGGTGTGTTTCGATATGGATTTGAGGAGGGATTTGGAAAGGAAAAGGAAAAACGAGAGAGAAATGTGAATGAAATATAAGCTAAATTTTTGTCATTTTTCCTTTCCATTTCCAAATCCGAGATCCAAACACAACCTAAATGAATTTGTGATCATTCTTCCTAGTCCTATTTTGATGCCTTTTGAAATTGAGTGACCCATTTCAAATTTTGCATTGCATTGCATTTCGATGTGGAAATTCATCATCTTCAATTTAGTAATTCAAGATTCACTGAATTTCTTGACATATGATCACTTTTAGATTTTGTTGAAATAGTAAAAATTCAAAATTTCAATGCTGAAATGGCTGCCATATTCCCAAATGGCTCCATTGATCAATTTTACATTTTGTTTGGATGCTTTCTGAATTTGAGTGACCTCATTCCAACTTTTTACATTGCATTTCAATTTGGAAATTCATCATATTTTCAATTGAGTAATTCAAGATTCATTGAATTTCTCCACACAAGATCATTTTCAGATTTCGTTGAAATAACAAAAAGCCAGAATTTAAACTTCATTTTCTGACATAGCTTCCATTTTTTCCCAAAGGACTCCATTGATAAATTTGAACATTGAAATAGTTATCAGAAGTGAATAGGCAATGATGTCTGAGATGCGTTCATTTTTCATTCTGCCGCTGGAGTTACAGTTTAAAATCATACCGACTCTATCTGTGACATTTCAATTGGTGCAGTTATGGGTAAAATTACGACCAAAGCCGATGTCTTCAGTTTTGGTGTTGTTTTAATGGAGCTATTAACTGGATTGACGGCACTTGACGAGGACAGACCTGAGGAAAACCAATACCTAGCTTCATGGTTCTTGAAAATCAAATCAACTAAAGGCAAGCTCATGACCGCCATTGACCCATCCCTTGATGCCAAACAAGAAACATTCGATACCATCTCCATCATTGCAGAACTTGCTGGTCACTGCACTGCAAGAGAGCCAAACCAACGACCCGATATGGGCCACGCTGTGAAGGTTCTGAGCCCCCTTGTCGAGAAATGGAAACCACTAGATGATGACACAGAGGAGTATTGTGGTATTGATTACAGTCTCCCACTTAACCAAATGGTGAAGGGCTGGCAAGAAGCGGAAGGAAAGGACATTTCTTGTTTGGACCTAGAGGACACCAAGAGTAGTATACCATCAAAGCCTACTGGATTCGCGGAGTCGTTTACTTCAACTGATGGTCGATAAGAAGAGGTACTCTTCCTGCGTTTCGCGTGACACGTTTTTGTGGTGGATGTAAATAGCATGTTGTTTTTTATTTGTGTATTTGAAATTTGATTTTGTTAGCATATTCTACTGGTGTTGGCTTTGGTGGTTGATGTTGGAGACTTGAAAATGCTTGTTTGCTTTGAAGTTTCAGCTGTGAGATGTAGATAGAGAACAATGAATGACAGTTGTTGTGAGTTGTGTGGATTTTTTTTTCCCCCTTCCTGTAAATTCTGTATCTTTAAGTTTGGATGAATATGCTGCAGTTGTTGTTTGTTTGCTCTTTTTTTATTTTATTTTTTTATAATATACATATTTTGTCATGAGGGTTTCCACATTGGAGGGATGTAATCATGGTTTCGAAAAACAGTTGTTGTTGCCATAATGATTGCGGTGGAGCAGTTGTGGTTACAGATTGTAAAGGCCATAGCATAACGGTTGTGGTAATCGAAACCATGAAATTTTTAATTTTCCGCACAATTTGAAAAAATTTATAGATACGCATATTTTTTTTTTCAAAATCACATAATTAGGGTTTAAAATAGATTTTGATAAATTTTTGTTAGTTTTTAAATATAATCTAATATATTTCATATTTTTAAATTACTATTAAAAGTGTTTTTTATATTATATTTTAATAGTTAATGATTTTAAGAATAATTGATTTTAAATGTCTATAAAAAAAAATTTGACCAATACCTGAACTAACTAAATAAAAAATATTTATAATTATTAAATGAAATAATTATAAAAATATATATATTGTGTCATAAACAAAAATTATTTTTGAACTAATAATTTTTTTTTAAAAGACATTTTTTTAGCATTTTATACTTAACTAAATAAAATTATTTACAATTAAGTACTATATGAGATGATTATAAAAATAAAAATTGTGCCATAAGTAGGGCCAGCCCTGACTTATTAGGGGCCTAAGGCGAATTTTTTAAATTGGACCCTTCATATATCATTATCAAAAAAAAAAAAAAAAAATTGTTAGAACGCGTTACCACTTAGACCCGCTAACTTCGGCGCACGGGTCCCACCTAAAAAATAGACCAAAGTTAAGAAAAAATTATGTTTTTACCCAAATTTTTTCAAAACATTTCTAACAAAATATTTATATAAAAAATTAAGATTTATGGTACTGCGAGTTCCAGAGGGAACGGGTCAGACTGATCTACGCTTCCCAAACCAGTGTCCGAGTGACCAAGCCCGTAGACGAACCTGCACAAGAGTTCAACAGGGAACAAGGAGTCCCCCAGCGAACCCTCCGACGAACAAGTTAGAGAGAGAGAGTGGAATATGTAGATAGATTAGGGATAAAAAAAAGCATAACCTTCTTCATGTCTTCAACGTTTGCTTATGTCCTTTGGTAATCATTTCGTTGTCCCTTCCGACCTATCACTTTGGCCAAAAGTCTATGATGTAGCTTACCTTGTTCAGGGTGAAGGCGTGCTGTCCCGATGGAGAGGTGTTGTCGTAATAAATGCAGTGAGAGGCTGCATTAATGGCGATGTGCAGTGGCAATAACTTTGCAGATCTTTGTCTGTTGATGTGGCTTGCCCTTTACCTGTTACGTGTCTGAATATCATTGGTCCTTCATGCCATGTTGACTTCCAGATGGTGCTGGGCCTTATTAGTTGGTTATGTATTGGGCCCTAAGTGGTAGGCTTGAGTTGTTCATAGTGGGTTATGGCCTTTATGGGCCTACCCACGTCAGTAGTCCCCCATTCCCAAGTGCAGCTTTAGTCCAACGAAAGAAATAAGGAGGAAAATGGAGGTTGAAGGTCGAGGGAAAGAAACGACCGACCAGAAGTGGCCGAGTTGAGGGACCGACTGTGAGGAGGGCCGACCGCGAAGGGTAGCGGAGTGGAGGGACCGACCGTGAGGAGGGCCGACCGCGAAGGGTAGCCGAGTAGAGGGACCAATCATGAGGAGGGCCGACCGCGAAGGGTGAGGTGGCGGGGTGCGGGGCTCGAGAGGCGGCGCGTCACATGATGACTTGAAGTGGAAAAGACAGGGTAGGGGAAGGGGGTAGTGAATCGTGGCCGTACACGTGGCAGCATCTCGTGGTAGTGGAGGTTAGACGTTGGGCCAGAAGTGAAACGATAGGTCATTATAGAGTGTTGAAAGGACAGTTTTGGCGGTGTTTTGAAAAATTTTCAAATTGGCGAAATTTAATAGGCACCCTTGGAATACGGGCAAACCTTGGGCCTTTGGGATTATTCGGTTTACCTATCTTTGTGCAAAACATCAAAACATTCCAAACGTAAACTCCTTCGTTGCTAACGATACGTCCTTGCAACACTTCTTGAATTTTCTAGCGCCTGCATCCGAAGCTATTCGAAGATATATGAGAGAGATGACACAAGAGGAAGCAACCACCGCAAGGGTTGATCCCCTAGGGGATGATAACGCGGTTGACCTGGCGGAATAATATAGGAGGGAGAGGCAAGTGGAGAAGTCAGGGGAGCCGGCGCGTTTACCTCGTCCGTTGACAATGATAGCGGCTCCGAAGCCAATTAGCCAGGCTGAGCCAGATCACTGGCATACGAAGGCCGACAAGTCAACCGTCACGGCGGAGGAGTTGGAGGATATGTGGAAAAAATACCAAGTGCCTGAAGAAATAGAGTTAATGTTACCGACAGCAACGGAGAGGCAATCCGACGCCTGCCCAGGGGAGTTTGCCTTCTACAAGGAGGCGTTGAAGGGAGGGTTGAGGTTGCCGCTTCCACAGGTGGTAATGGATGTCCTCAACCGACTGGAAGTGGCGCCAGGCCAACTAATGCCCAACGCATGGAAGATTGTACTGGCCTGTGCAAGTGCGTGGCCGAAGGCGAATGAGGGGTGGTCATGACGGTAGACGAGTTTTTTGCCTGCTATAAGGCCTCGGGCCAGCAAGAAACTTGGGTCACTTTGCAGGCGGCGACAGGAAGGGGTTTGGTGGTGGGGTTGCCATCATCAATTAAAGGATGGAGGCCGTGGTGGTTCTACGTATCCGCGAACGGCGGAGTTGGAGTACGCACGGTGTGGAGAGTACCCACTAAGTCTATGGAGCCCAAGCTGGGGGCGGCCGCGGAAGAGAGGGTAAAGAAAGTGAAGGCATGGAGGGAGAAGGAGGGCGTCAGATGGGACGACCTCGTTCAGCCGTCAGCTTTGTTTGCCGCAGGATTGGGCCCTTAGCCGACCGGTGGGGATCTGGCACCGGCAGAGCTTGAGGCGAAATGGAAAGCGCAAAAGGTGGAGGATCAGACCATTTTTGCCAAAGCCAATAAGTTCAAAGAAGCACAGTTAGGCCCGCCACCAAAACCGGTCGCGAGGGAAAGAATTTGACCGCGCCCTAAGTCGCCGGGGGAAAAAGACTTGGGCAGTTTTGAGCCACGACCGCGCCCCCGTTGATCCAGTGAAGGAAAGGGCAAACAAGGAGGAGGAGGTCTTAAAGAAGAAGAAGAAGATGAGGGTTGCCCCTGAGGGGGCCTCAGATGTGCCTGGATCGAAGAAGGCCATGGTGGGTGGTAAGGGCACTTCGATGGTGGAGGAGAGAGGGGAAAAAAGGGTGGAGGCTGCTCCAGAAATGGTGGTTACCCCAGAGGCGCAGGGGAGAAGAGTCGAGGGGTCCCAGAGGAAGAAGGGCACATAAGCGCCCTCGACCCGAAGATGCAATTGGAGAGTGGGTCAGCTGACCCTAAGGAAGTGATGAAGCAGCAGCCCAAGGGGGGCCCTACGCCCCAAGGAGAAGGAGCCAGACTGACGACTGCGATCTACAACGCTCGCGCAGTGTCTAGGCAGCTGGAGGGAGAAGAAGGCCCAGCCAGGGCGGCTGCAGATCGCCTTGTGGGGATCGTGGACAACACAGTCGTGCGCTCGGTGGCCAGGTTCAATGAGGTTGAGCTACTAAGGGGGTTGTGCTCTGCTCAAATGGAGGTAACCACCTTAGCAGGGGCTCTGTTGAGAAAGGCGACGGCTGGGAAGGTCAAGTCAGAGGAGGCTAAGGCCCAACTTGCAAGTTTCAAGAAGGAAAGTGCAAACTGGAAGAAGGCTGCGCGAGGTGCGTGTACCAGGGGTTGGCAGGAGGCTGAGAAGGCGAAGAAAATGGAAGTGTTGGCGATCGTTCAGTGTAATGTTGCCGCTAAAGCCCATGCTGAGCTGCTTACAGTCAAGTTAGAGCTGGAGGACGAACGCCGTAAGGTAGTGTCGCTCGAGTTCCAACTGGCTGGCAAGCAGAAGAAGTTGGGGGATGCTTAGAATGCCTGCACGGTCTCCACCGAGCGGTTTAAAGAGGCTATGATCAACAATGAAGAACTGCGCGCCCAGCAGATCAAAGAGAAGGACGAAGCAGACGTGAAGATTGCTGGGCTGCAAAATGAGCTGGAGGATGAGCGTGCTAGGGCAATGGAGGAGAAGGTAAGATTGCAGAAAGAGTTGGAGGAAGAAAAGACCAAGGCAACCTCTAAAAAGGCAGCATACCCCAATCTGTGCATTGCAGCAGTAGAGTAATTCAAGGGGTCTGCTGACTTCCAGATGGCGATCAACGCCGCGATCGCCAGCAACTTGGCAAGGGAGGTGTCTGGGGGGGCGGGCCCGTAGGGAACAACCGCTAGAGGCAGGACTAAAGCAGAAGTTATTAAGAGCTTCCAGCGGTCGGACTTCTACAAACACGAAATGGCTGAGTTTTGAGACAGTGGCTGGAAGATGTTTAAGCGGAAGGCGGAAGAACTGTTCCCAGACTTGGACCTTAGCGGTGTAAGGATTGATGAAGACGACGTGGCCCAGACTCCCCTAGATGAAGGCGTTGAAGAAGAAGACCTTGTGTCAAGTGAGGAAGAGTGACTGGTGGGAACAAAACCTGTACTGAGGGTTTGTTTTGTGTGTTTGTTTGTTTGTTTTTTTTTTTTTTTTTTTTTTTTTTTTTTTTTTTTTTTTTTTGCTTTTGAATGACTGTAAGAAACTTATGTACAATTTTGTGAATAAATAAAATTTTGAGTCTTGTTTTCATGCTACTGCTTTTGTTTGCGCATCTGAAATGAATGAGAATGGCGACTTGTATAAGGCTTATGTATAAATCATTGTGAAGTGTAAAATGTAAGGAAAACTCAATGTAAAGTGAAGTTTAACTTGTAAGAAAAATGCAATGCAGAGTGAATGTGAGAAAAACTTAATGCAGAGTGAATGTGAGAAAAACTTAATGCAGAGTGAGTTTTAACTTGTAAAAATTCAATGCAAAGTGAATGTGAGAAAAACTCACTGCAGAGTGAATTTTAACTTGTAAAAAT